AGTCCACAGGAGAGAGGGTAGCTGATTAAACAAGTGTTATGAGATAATAATAAAACGCGAGTATTGGTCACCGCGCTTGGAACCATAAGGCAACAAAACTGTGGGAAATAAACTAAGCTCTGCCTGTGAATCACTCTTTGCCTCTCTTCTTCCTTCCATCTCCTCATCTCATCTATCACATTCCACTTGCTGTCCATATGAGAACGAGGCACAGTTTGCTATTTAATTAATCGATTATTTAATTATACATTGTAACAACTCTTGCACCTAATCCATAATAAAGCAATGATAGAAAAATGTTATAGAACCAAAACTTTGTGTTTAGTATTGTTTTTATACTTAAAGTGTGATGTCCACATATGTGGACGCCAGGTCCTAGGAGGTTAATAATAAAGTAACACCAAATGACAAAAAAAATACAAGAGAACTCAAAACACTGGGTCAACAAGACCCAGGACCATGACTAACAATAAGATAACTCTTTATTGTCATTGCACAGTCATACTGATGCACACATAATGATCCTTATTCTATATATATATAACAGAAAGAAAGGGCAATTCTGTCCCAGCCAATAAACAAAAGAAAAAGGGTCTCAACAAAAAGGGCTTCTTACTCCTTCTGAACTGCTACCAGGTCCTCAATATGACCAGTGTAAGTAAGCAAATGAGTAACTAAGTACTTTCAGGCATGGTAGTTAGCACTGGGAGCATGCACTACTTCCCTTTCTCCTTTTGAGATACATTGACTGTTTCAGATGGAAGAAATCAGGACTTCGCGTATTCCATAGGTTGCTTCCTTGTTTTACAAGGTTAAAGAGAAGTTAAAGAGAAGTAGCAGCAGTAAAAGCAGATGCAATACTCAGAGGCAAGTTTAAGAGATGCTGTGGCCATTTTTGTTGAATGTTTATAAATCGCAATTTGTATTCATTTTTGTTTTTTCTTTAAAGTTGTAAGAATATGTGGACCTAGTTTTTGTTATGTAAATTTGTAATTCATTTTATTTTTGGAAAGTGATTGGTTTATTAGCTTATGGACCCTCCCATCAATCAAGGGATTAAGAGCACCCTGGAGGGGTGTGGTACAGATGTTTTTTGTTTGCCAAATTTCAGATGGGACAACGGGAGGGTTTAAAAAAAGATTTTTTTTTCACCACTTTTTGAAGTTGTTAAAGCAAATTAAGTTGACTTTCATTTCATTTTAAATTGCAAGAAGTTATTTGGGGGGGTTTTTTGTTTGTAATTTTCCACGAAATAAACACCATATAATTTTAAACAATGAAGTAAGAAATGTGTTCTAAAACAAACCTCCCGTTGTTGTTGGCCTTTTCTTGGACTTTTTTGGTGTTTGGAACATAAAAGGCCTTCACAAGAGATTTATTAACATGAGGTGAATGAGGAGTAGAGGACAGGGATTCATGAAGAGGAGCAATGGGCTGATAGGATGTGAAGGGATGGAGAGTGGGCAGGCAGGTGAGATCCTTCTAAAAGTTGAGTTTATTTGGTAGAGATGTTTTCAAGGGAGCTTCATCCAGAGGAATGCTAACAGGATACTGACACACGGAGGAGGTTCAGAGTCAAAGAGCAAGGATGAATAAACAGCACAATAACAATGTCTGGCAGCTTTTGGAAACAGAATATGATCACCAACAGTGCTGGTTTAGTTACTTTAGAAAAGTAATTTGTTACTCAGTTACTTAGTTACTTTTTGAAAACACGATACAAAACCCGAATAGGTAATAAATCAATAGACCTTTGCAAAAACTTAGT